GGTATTAGACCAATATAATTAATATTGCACCAATTGAAGTAGAGCTATAATCCTTGACTGTAGTACTGTACCAGCCAGTGATTGACAGTAGTACTGTGGAAGCCTTTGTCTGCAGTACCACCATTGACTGCATTGACAGTAATGCTATAAGAGTGAATTAGTGTGAAATACTTTTTGCTGTAAAGTCCTATGATGGATGGATAAATGATTGGATTAAGTCCTGTCACTCATGGTAAAGCACCCTAGCCCTTCACCCATTTTTTGCATCTTCTCTCTTTCCCTCTTTTTTTCTGCTCCTTCTAGATTGTAATCTCTTCCTACAGTTTCCTCTTCTTTTTTTGTCTGTATTAGTCCCCCCCTTCTTTATCTTCTCTGTTTGTCTCTCCATCCTCCAACCATCCCTCTCCCTCCTCTTACAGTATATCAACCTCCCTCCTGCATCTTGTCTTCTTCATCCTCTTTCCTTTTCTTCTTCCACCCCTTCATCCTTCCTTTCTCCTCCCTCTCCCCTTGAGTCAGAATCATATTTCCACAAGCTGCTGAGTTTTTTCCTAGAGAATAAAGAGCTGCTAATGGAATTACAGTCACTCACATCAGCGCCCAGTTTATCATACAGCACACACAAACAGACACACACACACACACACACACACACACACACACACACACACACACACGCACACACGACATGACTGTGCATATGCGATGTGATAGGACAGACACACAGAAAGACATGGGGTCAGACAGACAGATTAGTGAGCTCAGTATTATTAAAGTTTTGCTGTGCTCTAATCCTAACACTCTCACTCATGCAGTGCGCACACACACACACACACACACACACACACACACACACACACACACACACACACACACACACACACACACACACACACATACATACTTACAAATGCACACACTCTCATTGGGTTACACCCTATGAGAGGGGCAGGCAGTGTGAGATAAACTCATCATGCAGCAGTACAATATGCTGAAAGTGATTATGTGTGTGCATGTGTGTGTTTGTGAGAGATAGTAAGTGAAAGAGAGAGATGGTGATGTGCAACAGCAGTCAGGAAGCAGATATTAACTCACACTGAAGTCAGTGGTGGAAAGAAAGAGGAAGATATTTTCCAGTACAGAAAGTCATCTGGAAAAGTACTACAGTAGATGCAGAGCCTGAATGTGTGTGTGCTTGTGTGCATATATGTATGATAAAAGCACAATTTGCTGTTGACACTGTACTCTGCTTTTAAAAATCACAGAACCCCCTCTAAAATCCATCCCAGAGTTTAGAGAAAATTGGGGAAATATGGTTCAATCCAAGTAATGAGATGCTCCAAATTGAAACCACAGTGGTATTTCCTATAAGGCACAGCTGCATCTAATACCAAGTGACTTCACCACTGATGAATGTAAAGAACACCTCCTTGGGCACTGCATTCAAAGCGCACTGCTCCTAAATATTTGCAGACATATATCGTGGTGGTGTTGTTGTTGTTTAGTCAGTGTCTTTGTTTAAAGATTAGCTTCAGGGCATTCTAGTTTTATTTTAGCTGTAATAGAAATAATAAAGATTATTTATATAGCACTTATGAAAACAAATATTACAACAGGCTTGACATAAAACAGAAATAAAAAAAGAACAGATTATAGGAATAAAACCAGCAATATCAATAAAACAACTCATAACATATAATTCTAAAATGCATAGTGTATTGACCATTATTTTAAAAAACTGGTATTAAACTAAAAATAAAATTATTGAAAGACCATTTGATGAAATTTAGTTCCTCCTCCCCTCTTTTCTATGGTGACATGAACTACAAGCAGGCTCCTGTCTAGCTGTGCATGTGGGTGGGTAGATGTAAAAAATAATCAGTATTAGGAGTAGAATATGATTACTTTTTTTCAATTAAAAATGATCTGTAATGGAAATTTGTCCCAGTAAGGCTTGTTTGTTGTCTGTGTACGTAAATATATATATATATGTATGTATGTATATCTACTCCTTTATAGTTTTGAGGTTCAGTTTTGAGCTTTTACACTTCTACAGCTATTATAGCTAATCGATTACTTACTTTATTTGAGCGTTAGCTTACTGTTTCATGTTAGCTAAAAACATTTATCAAAAACATACAAATTATGAGAGATTAAGCAATTAAAATGAGCAACTCCACAAGTTCCAATTAGTACAAACTTTAAATGCTGCACATGAATGCATCACTGACAATAATAAAAAATAAACAAAATAAACAATAAATATAAAATATTAATATATAATACAATATAACACTGACAGGAGCCATTCTGCTTCATAAAAGGCCTTTTTTTTAAACAAAATGTACTTTGACATCAAGCACAGGTGTAAATGATGAAAGTAATGATGGCTCACTTCAATAGCTGCTTTGGTTTCAGGATCATCCTATTGTGCATGTTGGCTCACTGTCACATTTCCATGGCATTGTTATTGTTACTACTAGCACCTGTGCTGTTCCCGCCATAATAAGTCAAAATGTCTGCTGTGAGCAAGCCTGCACCTGTTCTGCATTAAGTTCGTTTAGCCGATAACACCTCTGTACTTTTTTTTAAATGACAGTTTGAGTGCAGTAATGTTGCTTGTCTTATAGTATTTTTAAATTGTAGTATTACTACTTTTACCCCAGTAAAGGATCTGAGTACTTGTTATTAACACTGCACATGTTAAGTTAAATACAGATGATGCAGTGTGTGCTTTTGGTGGCTTTTGAGCTGTTGTAATTCACATTCATGGAGCAGACATAAGTAACAGAAAGAAAAGTAGGCCATAACAATTAATGTTACAAGTTAATTTTATGGTAGAGTAATTCCTGAGGAGTAGTGTATGACATCTTCCAACTTGCCAAACACTTTAAGATTGAGATTTACCAGCACCTTTGGATAGTTTCTTTGACTAACCAGATTGTGTGGCTGAGGCATTAGCATTTATATAGTAAGCTGTGAAGAGAAAAGAGGCTAAACACATATTGTGAGCCTTGATTGTGAGCCACTTAGTTCCTGAGCATGTGTGTTTCTGACTTAAATCACACTCTAGCACACACTTTTGGGATGACACATCACAGAATGGGATCACCTTCCTAATAATAAAATTAACCTTTTTTTATAGCACGTTTAAAAAATAAAGTTACAAAGCAAATAAAATCAGACAATTAAAAATAATACATAAATGAAATGTAATAAAATACAAAATGATAATACCAATAAAACAGTGCGTTTGATATAGTTGCAACTGCTCAGGATCTGATGTAATGTTCCCTAAGGGCCTCATCCGTCGTGTGTTCATATGTAGAAACTTAAAGCTGTGAAGTGAGAGGGATGGGATTTCAGCGGATATTGCAACCGCCCTATAATCGTACTAAGCATACAGGATAAGTCTATCTCTCTCCGCCTCCTCTCTCTAACCCCTGTACATCTCTTCTCACTTTTTCCCTCTTTCTCTCTCTTTCTGTCTCCTTATCTCTGTTGTAACAGCACAGGTTGGATTAACTTTACAGGGGTTCTTAAAGTTTTGTATTCTTTTTCTCCCAAAAGTAGCTTTGGATTTATGGGATTTGTGAATTTGACATTGGGAATTACATTTGGTCAAATGTGGCTGAAATTACCATATTGATTATTTGCTCAAAGCATTGATGCAAATGCTGCACACATATTACTGCTATAGCCAAGATTATGGTTTCTGTTTTCAGTGGAGTTTATTGTGCTAAACAATGCATTGACTCATACTGCTATGTATACATCCAGCTAATAGTACCATATATTAATGTATCTATCTTGTAGCTGTATACGTTATATAAAAACGAATATAAGTGAGTCTGTCTCCAAACAATTCCTTTTTTTCAAGCAAAAGTGTCAATAAGAAACGCAAATAAAAATGGTTTGATAGCATCAGTACCTGGAAATTCTCTGTAGTTTCTGTAAAATATAAACTGTAAATCTGAAACGGGTACATCGTTTCACAGCATGTGTAATCTATTAGAGGGTGAGCGCATTTGTGCAATCCTTGTTCAGATGTCAGAAGGAGGAGGAGGCTGAGAGGATATTATAACTGTCTTTAATCTGGCTAAGCATACAGTATGGATAATCCGCTCTCTTTTACAGTACTTTTACTCACTTGGTCTTATTCCTGCAATTTGTCTGGGTGCTACAACTATGTAATCTCACTGAGATTATTGTAATTCTGTCTCTCATTTCCCTTTACCATTCTTCTTTTCTTTTATGCCACTTCGTACATTTGTTGTCTACAGTCTTGTATTTCCCCCACTGAACAGTGAACATGTTGTATTTCACTCTGGGACCCATAATACCATACTAGTACTAGCATTTGTTGAGATTTCTAAACTTTTGACTGTATGAAGATGTTGGCCTTTTGGGTTCTAAAAAAACCATGTTTTATACATATAACACAGTTGTAGGTGAATTAAACTTTAGCTTTGGGAAAGGAAACTCTGGAAGGAATCTGCCTCTATATTATGAAAATGTACAGATATTTTTTCAGTTTAGATAGTTTTAGTTTTGTTCATGCTCTGTCTCCTTATCCAGTCAGTAGTTGCTGGTCAGATGAGTGGTGTTGATGCAAAGTGAAAGGACTGCATAACCTACACAATATGCTGAGGAACTAAACAGTGCACAGTTAGCTCTGTTTTACTTGCATGACAGATGGGAGTATATTAGTCATCGGCCTATTCTACACGGAGACACTTCAGTGTCTGGAAAATATGCAGGGCTCACTAACTGATATGTCAACAATTCAAACACCCTTGAAGCCTCTAAAGTAAACTACCAAACTGTACAAAATTGAAACACTGTATCAACTTCAAGGAGCCATGTGTGATTAAATCAACAAGTGAATAACTTGACTGACTGAAGGGGATGATTGAAGAGCTTACTGACAGTTAATTTTGTTTGCTAACTTTCCTTTTCCTCTCTCTTCTCCATCCCTTCCTTACTTCTCTCCACTCCAGGCTCCGACTACTCTCCCCCTGCCCCGCTTCCTCGCCCTCCTCCCCCCGGCCTGACCAACGAGCACAGTGGCAGTGGTAGCCACAGCGACCATGATGGAGGAGGGGGCGGGGTCAACCACGGGGTCGGCATTGTGGGCCTGGCCCCGGAGCACATCCCCACACCGGGGGCGGCCCTGAGCTGGCAGGCGGCCATCGACGCCGCGCGGCAGGCGAAGATGATGGGCAATGCCGCATCGAGCGGAGGGGCGGGGCTTGGGTCGGGAGGGGGCGGGCCCATATCCACGGCCAGCTCCACGCAAAGGAAGAGACAACACTATAGCTCCAAGCCCAAGAAACAGACAACGACGACAGCCACAAGGCCGCCACGGGCCCTACTCTGTCTCACACTCAAGAACCCCATCCGCAGGGCCTGCATCAGCATCGTAGAATGGAAGTATCCTTTAACTAACCATAAGTGGAGGTTTGTTTTATGTGGAGTAACGCGCAACATGTTTCACTCTCACTTACAAGAAAGTGTCATCCTTTTAAAGGTTGACACTTTTAATTAATTCACTTTTATTGGATTGCCTGAAGGAAACCTGTGCAGAATCGTAAGCTCCTGGGTTACATGTTTTGCTCTAGGTTGCCCTCATTTAGAACTTACAAGATGGAGACCGGCAGATGAGGGAGTTCTTTTAAAACAAGCCTAGCTTGATTAAACTTGAAATGAATCATCAATCGAGGAGGAACAATGTAGACAATGGAAACGGTCTGGTTTCCGTACCAGGCGGTGATGTTCCCAGATGCTCACTGCCTTGCCTTTCTCAACACAGGGTCAGAATGCTGCACCCAGGTCAGGGCCTTGGTGATGTGGACCCGTTGATATTAATGGGGCTGTAGTTCCTCCCCTGCTTCTTCCCAAAGTCCACTATCAGCTCCTTAGTCTTGCTGATGTTCAGGCAGGAGGTTGTTGTCTCGACAGCCCTGTAGCTACTCCCTTCAGTATAATATTTTTTCTTCCAAAAACAAATTTTGACAATATATATGAAAGCTATTACATCTCAAACATACTGTAATACTGCATGTGTTGCAACCTCATGTAGAATGGACTCAGGTAGAAAAGAATCATTGTAAGGGGAGAGAGGAGGAGAAGTAAGGATGTAGGACATAACCATGTTAAGAATGCAACAGACTTCTTTATGTGTTTAATATTCCTATTTCCTTTCTTCTATCCCTCCTTCTCTTTCTTTCTTAATCAATCTCTCTTCTCTCCTATGTCTCACTCAGTGTGATTCTCTGCTCTCTGCTCACTCTTCTTAATCCTTTCTCCCCGTTCCTCTGTCGGGCCCTCTCCTTCTCTCCCTTTCTTTCTCTCCCTCTTTCATCTTACATTCCTTTCTCACAGGAGGATAAAACAAATTGTATCATTTTCATCCCTCCTTCACACCTCTCCCCAGCATATGTCTCTCCCCTCCCTCTTTCTAACCACATTCATCCCCTCTCCCCCAGGTTCATCCATGCCTCTGTTCCTCCACACTCCCTCTCTCATTTATTATCCGTCTCTCTCTCTCTCTCTCCCTCTGTCCATCCAAATCCCTTTATTCCTGCTGTTCCCCTACCCGTCCTTCCTTTCTACCCTTCCTCTCCTTTCTCCTTTTCTTTTTTTTTTAAGCTGCAGAACATAATGACTTGGTTTTCCCTCAGGGTGAGATAGAGGGAGAAAAGGGAGAGAGACAGAAATGGTCAGTGTCACAGTCAAAGTGATCTATAATAGGAGAGGGTCCACATGAGCATGAACTCAGCAAGAGCACAGTCACACATCGTCCTGAGAGGGAGAAAAGGAGAGGAAGAGGAGGGGTTGGGGAAATGAGAAGGGCAGGGATGTGGGCAGGACACGGATGTCGACAGGAGAGACGATGGAGCCGAGTAGTTGGGGAGGGAAGGAGGGATCAAGGGGAGGATGGGAAAGGTAAACAAGAAAAATGACAGAGCAGGGGGAGGGCAAATAATGAGTGAGGGGAGGAGAGGAGTGAGGGTAGGGGGATCATGAGGGAGGAGAGGAGAGAAGCGGAAAGCAGAGGGAATTGGTGAGGAAAGAGAAGATGAGTTAGAAGTAATGTGTGCTTTTTATGTGTGTGTTTCAATAGGGTTGCACTAAGGAATTATCAAAGTAAGAAAAATCTGATTTGATAACATTGTAGGATATAATGACCAAAAGTACTACGGAAAGTAATGTTTGTTATAATTGTACACAACACATGTCCTACTTAAATGCATATCATAAACTCCAGCACTGATGGTTTAACGTACATTTTTTCAAGCCAAAAAAAATGACTTCTTATTAAAATGATTTTAAAGAACTAAATTTAGCATTTTTAACTATTAACAAGATAGATTGAGAACGCTTTTCTATTGGATTTCCACTCTTTCTTCCTGCTGCAACATATTCTCACCGCAGTATAATGTTTTTTTTATATCCAGTGATGAATTATAGCATAATTCTTTATGACATTCTTATGAACGTGTATATTTATCAAATAGCCACTAAATTACTATTTGCTTTTATTTGATCCAACATTTGTTTTGATGGTTATGCTCAGTTTAATGTTAAAAATCCAGGGTCTTGAGCCCACCGTGGTGGTGTTTTCGTGCATTTCACTCAAACAATAGACATGTTTTCTTAAAAAGAACTCCAAATTTCCCATGGGAAAAACCCTGCCTTCGAAAGTGTGTGTAGTCTCACTCTGTGGGGTGAAGCAGTGGAAACAGACAAATTATCCCACTGATCACCTTGTGTATTTATAATAATTATTAAAAGTCATAATGTCAATAGTAGGCCTTAAGATAACCAGTCCAGCTGTGCTTGTGTTGTAAAAAAAGGAAAATTCATTGGGAAAAAAGCATGCATAAACCCTCAGGGTCACTGGAACAATCTCACCCAATGACTGATGTGCGTTCAGATCATTACACACAATTCCCAGCATCATTCATTTAAACGTCTCCAAAGGGAGGGAAGAGACAGATGGTTACTGAGAGAAAGGTGAGGGAATTAGATGAGTGAAAGAAAGTCGAGGGGCATTAAAGGGGGAGAATGAGAGACCAGAAAAAGAGGAAGAAATAATAGGATGGAGTCTTAATCACAACAAAAAAACATGGACAGAAATGTTGTCCTTCACTAGTTTAAAAAATTCCCAATCAAACTGTCAGTCTTTCTGCCTGCTTGTTCATCTAAATATTCCACTTTGGGATGTCCGTACCTGCAGTGTAGGCCTGTTTAAATGCAGGATGTGTTTGAAGTGAACATCAGTCTGTTGGTGAAGTTGTGCTCAATTTGTTCAGAGGATGTGTGTAGTTACGCATTAATGTGTTGTCTCCATTCCATAGGCTTTGCATGTGCATGTGTGTGTGCTTGTTTATGTGTGTGTCCTGTATTCTGTGAGTACCTCTGTCTCTAGAGACAGCAGATCCGAAATCTTCCTCTCTTTCCTCCTCTGTTACCATGACAACAGCTGCTGCTCTCAACAGGTCGATGGGGCTTGTCTGAGCTCACACATACACATGCATGCAAACACACACACACACACACACACACACACACACACACACACACACACACACACAAACACTCGTGAAGAGCACACGTACTTACACACAGATAATGAAAGACAGAAACAGACACACACAGGCGCACCACTCTCGCATGCAGTGTAATTATAGCATTTAAGCATTACCTGCACACTGCAAGGTCAGCCTAAGAGACAAGGAGAGAGTGGGGGCAGGTGTACGTCTAACTACTATGTTCTCTATATGAAATCACACTAAGTGGTTGTTTTGAAAAGGTGTCATTGAGTCCATTCACACACACACACACACACACACACACACACACACACACACACACACACACACACACCTCAAACTTATATATATATTGCATCAGGTCACAGGGTTATACTATTTGTATGCATTTTCAGCTTAATCAGGAAAAGTGAAAAATATTCTCAGCATAGCACCGAAGAGTGTTGAGCTTGCTTTCCCAGATAATATCAGTATATCCCTGGTTCCTTATTTGGGTTTGTCAAGATAAGAGGTTATCTGTGTTATTGTGCAGTTACATGTGCTGTTTATGTGAGGAAATTGCTGAATGCAAAGGATTTCAGAGAATAACAGCATCCTGGTGTATATGCGGATGCAATCCCAGTGTGACAATTTGTCGGAAGCATATACAGTTAGCTTGTTAAAATGCTAAATGTATATGTTAAATTCCAAAATGCCTCAGACAGTAGCACCCTGGTGAATACTACATCATGTTAGCCGTGAAACCCGCTGAGCTAAGTGGATGCTGATTTCAATTTTGTTTTATTTATTGCTGTTTTTAGTAGGGCTGTCAGAGTCAGTCCACCCAATTAGCTTTGGGCAAATCCATATTTCTTTGCTCCTATGCTGATAAATGTACTGCAGAATATTGATAGACGCAATACTTTTTTTTTTATTCTTCACTCAGACTCCCAGAATCCTAGAAAAAGAAGTGTATTGCTCTCAATAGCAACAGAAAACAGTAGATTTATTATCATGTTGATGGAAGCAGACCTCAAGGGTGTTTTTTTATGTTATGGGTCAGGAACCCAGAATGAGTCACAGGCCTGTTTTCTGTGGGTCCTCACATGTCTGGAGTGTGTTTTAATGAGCCCCCGGTACAAGGGTGATTGATTAACTTTGATGCATTTCAGTCCCATGCTGAATGAGCTGAATGATCTTGTGGTCAATGCTGTTCAAGGGTCAATCCTTAATCCAAACATAAACTAAGTATTAACCCCAGCATATAAAGCTTAAGTTTTTTTTCTCCCCCTCTTACTTTTTCTCTGTCTGCAGGGCTATTCCTAAAACAGTAGTTAATGCTCTGAAATGGATAGCACGTCTGTTTCTAGAGCAGCCACACAGCAAGATTGCTAGTGTGATTATAGGTAGTAAAAGATTGTTAGAGTTGTTAAATTTGCTACTTCTTATTTTAAACTGAATCTTGGTTATTTATTTGTTCAAGACAGTTCCATCACTCTTCTGCCATTCAAGCCTATTAAACCATACTGGGTAATTCCAAAATATTGGCACCAGTAAAAGGCAATGTGTCCAGTCAATACTGAGAAATAAATTGCAGATGTGGTTTTAACCAACTAGGATTTCTCACATTGAGATTGTAATGAACATCTGAAGTTGTTCATTTTGGTATCTTTTAGCTGCCCTAAATATTTTCCTGAATTTCTAGTAGGTAACTGGGATCAAATTAATTAAAGTTATAGCAGCTTTTGAAATAACTCAGTAAGTGTTGGCAATCCATCCCGAGAATTTCATTTCACTTCTTTTTTATTTTATTTCTGGGGTTACATTATAGATATAGGGTAATGCAGTTGAAAAGACTGACGGTCACTTTCTTACTGAGATCCAACTTCTTCTGCACTTGTATCCCAGCCAACCATCACCACCACCTGCTTAAAACTGCCACTTGTTGGATTCGGTGCAGCAAATGATTAAAGCTTGTTCTCAAGCTCGGGAAGCCTGCATTCATGGTGTCATGTAATGTGTTGAACATGAATGCCAACTTAAAGTGTGCATGCAATTGCTCATGGTTTGTCTTCTGGATTTAAGGGTCTCCATTTCTGTTTACGTTATGCTACAAGGCCTGGTGTCTAGACTAATTTGACATGCAGCCAGGAGGGAAGAGGAAAGGGAGAAAGGAAGGAAGGAAAGAATTGACGAAGAGAGCAAAAGGAGGTGGAGGGAGGTGACAGCAGTGGCAGTTAGTAATTGTGTTGATGAAAACCAGATCTCCTTTATCTCTCCTTCACATTCTTTCTCTCCCTCTCTCCCTCTCCTTCCACTCTCCATTCTCTCCCACTTTGTATCTCTCCCTCTCTCTCTCTCTCTGAGGCCAAAAATAATGAGGTCACTCCCCTCTCAAGGACCGTTCCATATAAAAACCCTCTGTGTCTCTCCTCTCTCTCATTCCATCTCACGCTCACTCTTTCCCTGTCCACATCCCGTCTTCCACGCGACAGGCCTGCTCCTCACTGCACCCATATTAGGGCATGCACTGTCTCTCTAACCCCCCTTCCACACACAAAGAGGTTCCTAAGTGACCCAATATGTCTTATTGTTAACGAAAAGGCAAACTCAACAGCTTTGATCTCTCATTGTGTACACTGCTTGTGCACTCTGCTATGTGTGTATATATATCTCTGCTTATGTAAGGATGTATTAGCTTGTTTAAAAATACCTCTTTGTTGAAATAACATACAAAGACTTTTTCTATTCTGGAAGGTCAAAAGTCAGAGTCTGTATTATTTTGTACTGTATACTAGAGGTTCTCATGGATCGTTGAAAACCCACCTGAACCTGTAGCATATTGTTGAAAAAGGGGGACCAAATTTTAAAAGGGACCCGAGGACAACCAGACCTGCTCCAAAATAGACTAGAGGGTAATTAGACCCGATCCAACACATGGCCCGGACTGTCACAAACAGAGAGAGAACACTAATGAAGAAACAACCATAAACCAAAAAGTAGCCGTTCACAACTTATGCCTTGTCTGAAAAATCAGATTTTTTTCTCCTGCATTACATGATCAGAACTGAAAGTCCAGTTAGATCCACTCAGATATTAGATGGACACAATTGGCCTATATATTATTTTACATATATTTATACATATTACTATCAGTCGAATGTCAGTTCGAATGCCAGTTCAAGGATGATCTCTACTGCGTAAATGTCTCTGCTCGTCTGTTTTGTGTACTCTGTTCTGGTGTGTATATTCCTTAACCCTCCTCTCAGACCATTTGAGATCATCATCCTGATGACCATTTTCGCCAACTGTGTGGCCTTAGCTGTCTACATCCCCTTCCCCGAGGATGACTCGAACGCCACCAACTCCAACCTGGTGAGTAATCTACAATATTTAAACTGCTTCACAGTTAAATATGCTCGCTTGTTGTTTGGTCCAATATTTGGACATATAAAGAAATTAAATGGGGACTAAGAGAGTTTTAGAGAAGAGAATTAAATGGGGACAAAGAATTTGCCTTTCTTTGAATAATACCTTTTTTGAGCATTATTTGCTCTTATCATTGCATCCAAACATGCAACAGAGTTGTTGATTTTGATGTTTCACTTTGAAGCCTTGAGAAAGTGGACAGTTTCATTTATTTTGACAGAGGACTCTTGAGTTGTATCAAATAAAGTCATGTGAGATGATTTGATCAAAGGCGAAGCATAATTTTCTTGTGGGCAACAGAAAATCTTGGCTTTGGAGAAAATAGTTGGGATTGTGGAATTGTGAGGTCTTTTGGTGGACTGACTCAAGTTGTTTTGATTGAAAACTGATTTTGTGGCTGCCATAATGTCATCTAGTCTAGTGAATTAAATGTAGTATAATTTGATATTTTTCAAGTAAAACAAAAATATCTTACAAAACAAAGACATCTGTTGCTTCAAAACTCAGTTTTTCTGACCACTTCTTGCCAAACCTCTTATTTAATTACCTTGACCTGGCTGCTCACCAGGGTTTGTGTGTGTGTGTGTGTGTGTGTGTGTGTGTGTGTGTGTAAAGCAGCGTGTGGAATTGTGTTTATATAAATCAGTATCCATCCATACATTAGCTATACCTGGAGCCAATCCCGGCTCACATTGGGCGAGAGGCAGGCTACACCCTGGACAGATCGCCAGTCAATCACAGGGCTATATGTATGTCTGTACAATTTATGTGGGCTTTTAAATGTGTGTGTGTGTGTGTGTGTGTGTGTGTGTGTGTGTGTGTGTGTGTGTGTGTGTGTGTGTGTGTGGCGTCAGCTTGCATATGTATGCCAGTGTATTATTGTGAGAAGGACACTAATCCCTCTAAGGCCATGTAACATTTATCACTCTCGTCGTTCTTTCTTTCTATCTTTCCTTTTTTCCAAGAATGATTTTTCCACATTTACTAATTCTTCAGAGTTCATGCTGTACTATGGTTTTCAGATTGCTCGTTGTGTGTGTATGTGGACTCTGCAGTGCGCCAGTTTCAATGTGTCCATGCATTATGTAATTGCTGATTTAGAGAATTTTAGGGAGAGTTTTACTGTCATATAGTCTGGACAAGAAAGGATCCAGCGGTCAAAGGATCAAGCAAAAAGACTATAAGGGTGTGACTTTTTTGACATTTTCTCCATTCATTAAATTACTTTTGGCTCACTGTACATCTGTGAGTAGAGAAATAACATTTGTTTTCATTTGTTTTACTGTGTATCTACCCTCTGATTTGTCCTTTAATGATATAGTGTCAGAGCAGGTATATGAGTCAGTGGAAGAATAAATAGGACTGAGAGAGGACAGCTGTTTTCATCTTCTTAATCGGTGTCCATCACCCACTCTCTCTGCCTCTCTGTATCTCTCTCTGAATTCTGTATACATACATACAGCAATTCCAGTACGCTTTTCTGTAGCACAGTCAATGTACAGTAAGGCGTCACAGATCAAGTCTCAATGAGCACAGACATCACAGTTAATGATTAAGCATTCTAAGACATCCCTTAGCTTCTTTAAGCTCTTCATTAGATACATCCCATAGAGATCCCACTTGTATTATCCAGCCTGTCAAATCATGTCAAAAATATTGAAATTAGCAGGAGAGAGCTGATGAATCAACCAGCAATGAGTATATTCTATATAACTCAAACAGAAATGAAGGCACCTTCAGATGCATTTTGAAAGCTTTGACTTCCAAGATAAGTAGTCCCCAATGGAAGCAGGTGGCACAGCTGTTATATGGTTGTAACACAAAGAAACTGTGTGAATAATTACTTTTCTTATGTAGCCTATGTATAATTGCATTTAAGAAAAATAGTACGTGTTGTTCTGTGGACAGTCTAGACTGGATAATAGTAACAAGTACTGTCTCTCAATGTCTGTCAACACAATGAGGAGAATTTTAACACTGCTCTCTTTGCCGTTTTGAAACAGTATACAGCATGATTCATCGGTATGCAGACACACACACACACACACACACACACACACACACACACACACACACACACACACACACACACCACCTTACACTTCCATGAAACGTTTGGCCTCTTAAATGAACCTATTTTCAGGTCTTCTATTCTTGCAGAGTTATTTGGGACCCTACTGGTGACCCCCCCACTAGTTAAAGAACAGATACAACACACACATGGACGCACACTCACACACAACCTATTTACCACCACCACAGCTGTGGTCAATTAGTTTTATACCCTTCTAACAGACAGGAAGCAGTGTGCAGTCTGACCAGAGGCTTAACATTACGGTTGAACCATGTATCTCTGTGTGTGTGTGTGTGTGTGTGTGTGTGTGTGTGTGTGTGTGTGTGTGTGTGTGTTTGTCTGTGTGTGTGTGTGTGTGTGTGTGTGTGTGTGTTTGTGTTATAGTACATTTTTTGTGTATGTATGTGGTATTAACAAGTATACAAGTTAGGGAAGAAGGGGGAAATGCTGCACAACTGCTGATTAGCCTGCCTGAAGTGCATCTTAATTATGTTTACATTGTGTTTGCAATATGCATTCACTTTAACAATTGACTTTATTCAGCTCTCTCAATGGATTTGAAAGGCAGTGATTAAACCCATGGTTATACATAATCCATATGTCTTCCCATTGGTTCATTTTCCAGAGTTTCTATTATGACTCTCATTATACTGATATCTTAGCCATTTAGATGATGGGTTTATCCCGACCTGCCTACAGTGACTGTTTTGCTTAAGGACACTCTAAAAGACCAACAGACTCTTGATACCTATTTGGGAAGGATGAACCTGTGACCATATTGTCTTACCAGTTAGAAACCCTGCCAAATGTCTGAACATTGTCCTTGTGCTACCTCTCATTATACTGTGAGTTTAGGCCACAGGAGGGTTTTAAATATTCCCTGCATCAAAGATCTTTTAATTCAGCACATCCTGAACCCCTTCTTATTTCAGATTTTTGTGTCATCCTCCTTCCTTGTTTAGTATTGTTGTCATTTGTTTTTCTTTTTGTCATTTTGGGTGACACATTGTGCTCAGCCCCTTGTGGTCTTGTTTGCTCACACACATTGTTTTTTTCCCTTCCCATTTTGTCAGTTTTTTTAGCATTTGCAAATAAGCTTAGCTTATACAAAGTTTTATCCTTTCATGAAGTATAAACCCAAAACAGTTGCCTCATGGCTGTGGCTCAGTATCCTGATTATGCTCTTTATATTTACCCCTGACCCTATGTGTGATGGAACCTGAGTTTTAGAATCAATATGGCACACCATCGCTAGATTTTAAGTCTTTCTTATGTAATACCAGAGATCAGTTGTATTGCTTCCAGTACAAGATTTCTATTTCTGTCTGCATCCCATAATGTGCAGCTCTGTCTCCTTGACGACATGCCCAATAATAGCAGCGGGAGAGGTTGTCATGGATATGGTAACCGTAGTGATGCTCCTCATCTGTCCTTGGTTACAGACGAAAGGGTAGGAACCAAAGTGTGAGAAAGTCTTTTCACTCAGGGAGGAAATGTATGCTGCACTTTGCACTTTAGTTCAACATTTATTGGTTAAAAAAGTGGAAGTGAAGCTTGAGTAAAAAACCTCTGTTCACTCCCTTTTGCTGTTCCGTCCCCATTTTTTTGTTTCTCTCTCTCCCGTTCCCCCCCTCCCTTCTTTCCTCCATCTAATATGATCAATACGGTTACTTTGACTGACAAAATAATGTCGTTATAATCAAGCAATTAGCTTATCAATACACCTGATTAGACACTGATTGATGAAGAAGCAAGAACACACACACACACTTTTGACACTAAATCCCGTAAGCAATAATGCGGCTTAATAGGATTTACAATAATTGAGGTTTGAGATAATACTGCACGTGGCCACATTCAGGTTTAGCTGGTATATTTGATTTCTATATTGTGTGAATACATTTGATTTTTGTGTGTGATTAGGTGTGTGTATGTGTGTGTATGTGTGTGTATGAGAGGTAGGTGACAAGGTGTTTAGTGTTAGATTAATTAGATGCTGGCTCAGCAGTAGGCATGTGAAACAAGTCAATGAATAACCTTTCAGAGGTTAATGGACCCCATCACAACACACACACTTACATCACTTTTCTCTTTTTATATAAATAATAGGATTTGTAATTTGTTCAACTGCATAAAATTACCTATGTTTGCGATTTCCTGACAGGTGACCTCTTATGTCCGTGTGAATATGAATGCCGTTTCTCAGTGGCAACCACAGACGAACAGTGACATTGTTACACCACCACAAGACCTACAGTATTAGAGAGGAGGTCACAGTTATTATACATTAGATATAGTTGTTGTATTGTATTGTATTGTATTGTTATATTAGTCATTCCAAAAGCATGTGGCTTTGACATAGGTTAATGCAGTTAGTGCCCTGTCTCATACCAACAGTCTACGTTGGTTTCTTTTAACCACGCAAACAATGTTCTCAACACGGAACTTAAATAGGCAGATTTACAGCTGTGCTACAGTACAATTTCTTAATAATTGATTTCACTATACTCCAAGGGATGTTTAGTGGCTTCTTGTCCATTGCCTAATTTGTGCTTTTCAGTCACCTTTTCATGGAGAGTTCCTTTGTCTTTATGGTGTAGGCTTTGCTACATTACTGACTCACTAAAAGCTGGACCCTCCAGATACAGGTGACGTTTTAAATTCTAAAATTAATTGGCTGCACCAGTGATGTTGTATGTATGTATGTCCTATTACATATTTTTGACTAGATAGTTTCAATTCAATTATTGTTGATTAGTGTAAAAAAAGAAAAGAAAAGAAAAGCAGCATTAACTTAAACTACTAGCTCTACTTTGTTCTTTTGCTCGCTCACAATTGACCTCTGAAGTGACCTCTGCGTTTCCTTTTGGAT